CCTTTTGGATGATCTCTGTAATAAGATCCACTTCATACCAGGTACAAATGTCAATTTCAGGAGGAATACAGGATTAACTATGAAAATAAATCGATAAAGCTTCTAGAAGAAAATATGGAAAAATGCACATGTATAAATATTTCTTAAATAGAACCCACATTCTCAATCATCATAGAAGAAAATGATAAATTTCTAAACTAAAATTAGAATTTAGTTCTAAAATTTAGAACTTCCATTCATCAAAAAAGGCACCATCAATACAGTAAAAGATACAACTCACAGAATAGAAAATAATATTTGAAATGTATGTCTGGCAAAGAACTCATTTCCATAATAGATGAAGAATTCATACAAATCAGTAAGAAAAACACAAATGGCTCTAGATGAAACTGGGCAAAAATATAAACAAACACTTCACAAATAGGATGTCCAAATGTCCAATAAAATATAACATACAAAAAGGTAGGAAATCTCATTCACTAATCATCAGGGAAATGCAAATTAAAAACACAATGGGATACCACTACACACCCAGCAGAATGGCTGAATGAAGGACAGACAATATTAATTATTGAGTAGGATGGGGAGAAAATGCAATCTCCATATGTGCCGCTGATGAGAGTGTATATTGGTAGAACCGTGTTTAAAAATATGGTGGGAGTATCTGCTTAGGCAGAGTATGGACCTCATACTCTGACTTCATCTCATGACTCAGCAGTTTCACTCCTGTGTACAAAAATGCACACATACATTCACTGGGAGACCTATGCAAGAATATTCAGCAGGAGCATAGCTACAAACGAGAAACTGCCCGAATGTCCACTCAATGGTAAAATGCATAAATAAGTTGTGGTATATTCACATGGGTTAGTGAAATGAGAATGAGAAAACTACAGCCACACATAACCATGTGGACATCTCTCACAGAGGTCATGGGGAATGATAGAAGGCAGACATGAAAGAGGACATTTGCATAGAGCTGAAAAGCAGGCAAAGCTTGACAGGACTTTAGAAGTCAAGATGATGGTTTTTCTTTGCAGGATTTTAACTAGAAGAGGGCATAAGGGAGGCTTCTGGGGTGTGTGAATTTTCTGAGGGTTGTTTTCTCTAAGTGCTGATTACATGGAGATGTCCAATTTATGAAAAATCATCAAGCTGGACACTTACAATGTGTGCATTGTGAACGATTATGATTTATGCCAAAAATAAAGCCTCACTGCAAGGTATTTTATATTTTTCAGTTTATTTTTGATTATATTTAGAGAGGCAAATTTTACATGATAGCTTCAAACCAACCATTGTACGTTAACCAAATTTTGCACAAGCCATTTGAAAAAAGATCTAAAAATGTGCTTAGTTATTGGTATCATATAACATTTATCAAGCACCAAGAGTGTGCTGAGAGCTGTACAGAACAAACATAGAAAAGACACAGTCCCTGCCTCCAGAATAACCTTTCCTTTAGGCTCTTGCACATAAAACTTCACCTGACATTCCACACTCTTTTATTCATAAGGCATAAATAATGAAATTTGTTGCATTTCTCATTGTTAATAAATAAATACCTAATACCCCTTCCCCCAGTTATACCAACAATTATATCTTTGCCTTTAAATACAAATTTCCTAGTACAATATACAGTATATATTGATTTGGAATTCACACAACTGACCACAATATTCTTGCAGGTTGGTTATAATATGAAGCATGATGAATCTCAACATTCACAAATTTGCATACCACTTAATAGAATCATTTGCTGTTGGCAGAGCTCAAAAAAAGAACCCAACAAATGAGGCGCTGCGTCTGTTATCTTAATAAATTGTGAACAAAACCAGCACAGCCTTGATTCCAATAAAGGTACCAGAACTATGGCCCAGATGTCAGAACAGTGATTTTTAGCACATCTGTCAAACTAGCCTTGCAGATATCAATCACATAGCTGCATGCCCTAAAATACTAACAATCTGTAACCGGCTGTAACAAATGATGTAAGTACGATATACTTTATGGCATTTGCAGGTTGAAGAAGGGAGGACTGGTGTGAAATGTCTGAAAACTGTGAACCAGATTGTTGTTATTGGTTTTCTGCAAGGCTGTATTCGAAACAAATTCAGATTAGAAAAGAAGATGAAATGATTCTGAGTTTAATGATGGGCTAAGGACATTTTATTCCAAAATCATCTCTTGAATAATATCTGATTATTTATCTTTTAAATGAAAGAACAACAAAGTGAATTCTGATCATGTAGTGATTTTAGACTCAGGCACAGGGAATACTTCAGAGATGTCAGAGTGTGGAGGGAGATGGCAGTCGGGACAGAAGATAGGCCAGTCCACAGGTGGGCTGGAGGAAGCTCGCAGCGGCAGGAGATGGTAGGCAAATGTAAGAGGAATGCATAGATGTTTCCCTCCCAACTAGACTCTATCTTGCTCTATTCTGCTAACTGATGGGATAGAAGTGCTAGAGTGGGTCAGGGGTCTCAGAAAAGGCTGGAGCAAGCTTAGGATTAATGGCCAAAAGGAATCTAGCTGTAAACTTGACCTCCTATTTATTCTTAGACCCCAAGCATCCTTAGCTTCAAGTGGTGATAAAGACCCATAACTTCAACACCAGACTTGCTAATATCAGGCTGAAGATGACCTCTTTTCAGAAAAACCACTTCCCCTTTGGCCTTCCTTATCCCATTTCCTATGGTATTACCAGGACTGGATGTTCCCATTGTGTGACAATGATGTGGAGCAGAAGTTTAAAGCTACCCTGGACTTGGAACAAGACTGAATTTCTCTATCTCCCCAGCTATGAAAAGGGTAGAAGAAAATTTCAGAGTTCTTTCACTTCCATGCTTGCAGTGGGGCTGATAGTCATGTCCCTGTGGCAGCTAGGCACATGGCCCAAACATGGCCTGTATGGAATAGATTCACCCAAGGGCAGTGGCAAAAGTGGTTTGGTACAGCTCCTATGGTCCCATCTGTCAAAAGGAGGAGCCAGAGTGAGATCTGACAAGATCTTTCTTATCCTAGGCAAGTACCTCTCCACTCTTCTGCAAATCACAGAACAAGAGGTTGGAATTCCCTGTCTCTCTGCTCTGGCAGGTTAATAATCTATGATAATGAGGAGACTGGTGGAATTAGAATGTGATATAGAGTCTTATTGGTTGAGGAGGTGAGGTGGAAAGGCAACTCCCAAGGGTGATAATCTAGTATCATCCTTAGGGTGAAAGAAACAACATTATGTAATGTGCCCAAACCAAAACAGCACCAAAAGACTAAAATTATGACAACAGACAGTAATATAGAGAAATATTTTTTTTTCATTTTTAATTATAAAGCCTCAGTTTTCCATACAGAGGCTTAATTTTTCAGTCACCTAACTGAAAATCCACATAGACCTGACAAGATAAGTAGATAACGTGAAGACCTCTAAAAGTAAAGGTGCACTACAGAGGAAAACATCCATCCCTCATTTGTTAACATCATAAAGTTTATTGACTACTCCTTAAAAGTGAACAATAGAATTAGACACAGCAAGCTAAGTATTATTTGGACTTTTTTAAGAATGGATGCTGGACTCCTATTGCTTTAGGAATTGAGAAGCTTCCCAAACCTGTCTTGTAAGAATTTATATCATCCAGAGTGATCATTCTTACAATCAAAAATGTTTTTAAATCCCATCTAGTTATCAAAAAATTTCAGGTAGCTAGTTTCTGCCAATCACTTTTTTCTTCAACCCCTAACAATATATTAGAATCAGATGCTGATAAGTAGTCTCTCTTCCAATTATTGTCAAAGCACCATTCAGCAGGTGGAAACTGGTATCGAACTCTGATGAAATTACAACAGCTTCTTGTACACTGGAGAAACTTTGCTCTCAAGTTATTTAACAGAGAAGACAACAAATGAAAATTAGATATTTAGATAGACATATAGATAGATAAACAGTTAAATAGATAATATTTTTTGCACTGCTGACAAGTATTCAAAACTCTGGAGTCAGTGTTGGGGTAGTGGAGAAGACCTCAGTGCCCTTACCATGTTATTGAACAAGTGTACCAGATCTTTTTAAAGCCATTGAAAATGGCTGATATTGGTGCAGGAAAACTATGGTCAACAGATATAATGTCAAAGTTTAGCCATTGTCTCTACTCTTCAAGGCACAAGGACAAGTTCCAAACTCTTCAAGAGACAGAAAATCAAGGAACAGAGCCACACACCAAAGAACAAATGACAGATCCTTTGGAGTGGTCATGGTCATTAACAAGGAGCTCTCCACACTGTGGGCTGGGCATAGGAAAGTCTCCTGGCCTGAATACCTTGGCCCATGACACAGTGAGAGCACATTCTGTGGCTGATTTGGTAGTCCAGTTCCTTCCTACCCTGGGCACAAAGAAGGTCCAGAATATTTCTGTGAAGGTCTGCAATGATGCAGATATTCTGTCATGTTGATGGCAAAAAGGGCAAGAATGAAAAATCAGTAGCCCTTGAGAAGAGTCGGCAGAGTAGTAACATCCTTCATGAATACACACCCTGTTCCTTCACCAGCAATGGTCTAAGATCATTAAGGAGAAGAGAACCCACCCTCTTTCTTCTCATCCTGCCTACTCCCTTAGCCTCTCCCAAAGAGGCACATATTAAATACCTTCTGTATAACCTATTCCCTGCCATGAAACATCACCACAATGGAAAGAATCCAATTAATCTTTTCTCTTTTTCCGCTTTGAATATTCATTTTGTATTTACCAATAGTCCATTACATTCTTTTGGTAGGAAAAGATATTGCACTTCTAAAAACGCACAGAGTAAATTAAGTCAAAGCTAACATAGGTAGGTAGATTTCACACTAGAACATGTACTTTCTGAAGGCTGCCTTTATTATTTGCAGAAAAGCCTCCAGGACTTCATCTGTTTCAACAAACTGTTGCCACAACTGCTGCAATATTTTAAAGTGCAGAGGAAGACATGGGCAGTCACCAGCCATCCACAGAGCTGCACTCATGGGCTCATGATTTCATCGTGCAGATGGGCACGACAATGACGAGGATGACAGTGCACGTGGCAGCCGCAATCAGAGCAGCAATCTTGCAGACCTTGGCTCGTCTGAATTCAGCTTCTTTACGTTTTAGTAATGAATCGTAGCCTGGAGTATAAATATCTTCCATCCAATATTCTAAGTTGTTTGGGTTTAAAGATTCTTGTGTCTAAAAGTGAAGAAAAGATGTTAGAAATATGGTGAATACTTGTGACCAAGTAAAAGACATTCTGACAACTGTCACTCCTGAAGCATGTGAGAGTTGTCTGCCGCTGGGAGTTAAGAGATGACTGTGCTGTCCAGCCCTGTCACACCTGCCTGGTGCCATACGTCTCAGACTGCACTGGCCCTCCCTTACTACAAAGGCTGTGTTGGTTCTGATGCAGGAGAACCCGAAGCAAGCAAAATGGAGCTGGAATGGAGAAGACTCTAAACTTCAAGGGCATACAACCAAAACCAGGCTGGTACTACTGCAAGGGAAACGAGGAAAGTTACTAAGAGATATTCTCTACCAACAGTCTCTAAAAACAGACCTGCTGGAAGCAAGGCCATCCCATCACTCCAAGTCAGTTCTTTTCTCAGAAAAAGCATCCACTGAAAATCAAAGACACCTCCAAGATCAGCAGTTCAAACAAAATATAAAATATTCCAACTTCAAACATTTGCCTGAGCAGCTCAAAATCAAGGTACACAGATCTGTGATAGCCTGTCCCCACCCTGGGCCTGCGTGGTGATGTCCCTGGGCTTGGTGCAGTGTCCCCAAAGACAGAGTCCCCACTGACATTTGTTTCCTGGTCTCCCCGAGATTCATGAACTGTTTTCAGGAGAAATATATTATTTAACCTGTACTGCCCATGAATCCTATTCTGTGTTGATGGTTATTATCTATTTCCATGAAGAAAGGCCATGTTCTCATTTTATGGTAAGCATTTAATAATACATCATATAAAAGCAACAACACATTGCAATTCCAAGTGAGGCCACCTAAATCTTTAAACACAAACAAAATGTCCATTTCAAAGATTTTCTTCAATTGTTTGATGCTCATAAACAAGGACACATTAAAAAATGACACACACAGACACACACAAGCATGGGCTCAAAAAACAAACACTTCAAAACTCAAAACTAAGAAAAAAAACAACTCACATGTACATGTTATTGGTGGAATGGTGATAATTCTCATGCATGTAAGGAATTCTCCACCTATCCGTCTAGATCCATTCTCTAGTCTTTTCCACCTTGTCACCAGGGGAATGATCCCTATGAGCACATCACAGGGGGGGTTCCTCTGCCTTCTGGCTCCCATGTGGGTTCAACCGGTGGAGAGAGGAGGAGAGAGCTTGAGGTATTTGCTTCCCCCAGCCCCCTCCCTGTTGGGTTGCAGCCCACATCCCATCAGATGCTGCTCCCACAGCCTGGGTTTCAGTGGGTTTCACTAACAGCTACCTTCACTCGGCTTGTTGGATCCAAGGATGGCAGCTGATGCCAGTCTCTGGGTGCTTCCCTGGCTCTTGCTGGCTACTTCAACCCTGCTCACCACCATAAATGGTCCCTGCCTTAACACTTGTGCATCACCCCTTTGAGTACACCAGCTGCCTGAGGCCACCCAGGCTTCATTACTATCCTATTGCGAATAGTCTTCTACCGTAGGACTTGGCCAATGGTGGCTTGCAAGCCGAATCTGACCTGCCACCTGTCTTTGCGCAGCCCTTATGCTAAAAATAGTTCATTCATCTTTTATAAAAAAGTAAAAAGAAGAAAAATATTTTGCGATGTGTGAAAATTGGATGGAATATAATCTCAGTGGCCAGCAATAACGATTTATCAGCACACAGCCATGCCATTCACACACATGTGGGCTTTAGCCACTCAGCTACAGCAGCAGAGCTGAGCGTTTGTGACAGACCAGGCCCCAAATCCTACAGTACTTACTGTCTGGCCCTTTACAGAGCAAGTTTGCTGCTCCTGTCCTACCTAGGACCTGCCATTCAACAGTGTACAAGGAAAGAAAGGGGATTTGGGGACTACTAAAATCTCCCAGTCCTCTTCCTCACTAAGGCATCATGTTTTAAAAAGGTTGTTGAATTTTTCAAGCTATCTAGAAAGGTGGGAGTCTTGGCCACCCAGAACATCTGTAATGGAAAGAAGGAAATAATCAATGTGGGAAAAATCCTTAATGTGGGGAGGGGGGCTCTGTCCAACCCTTCAGCCTTTGCAAAAAACCCTCCTGCTCTGGCTTCCTCTGCTGGAGGCAGAGTGCTGCTGGAGCAGTTCTGCTGCTGTCCAGCTCTGGCTGTTAGGACATCTTCAAACCATAGCCCCTCACCACCAAAGCTCTGTCCATTGCAGGCACTTGGGGCCAGTCTGCTCTCCTTGATGTGAAAAGTCTTCACCAATGTAATGGACACTCCAGAAGGGAGAGATGGACCTAAGATGGGGGTACTTTGCTGGAAGACTAGTCTGCAGGTCTGCAGGTCTGCAGGAGTGGGTGATATGCCCTGGAGGCTGTACCCACAGTGTTCTTTGCCTGGCGCCTTGCAGACAGGCTTAGGACAGTATGGTTGAAATGACCTCCTTTTCTTCCCAACCTTCCCATAGCTGGCTCAGAAAGTAAACAGTGTGTAAACAACATATCAGACCCTGTGCCTTGTTCCCTCTGGCTCAGATAGAAGGAAATTGTCTTTCTTTCATCGCTATATAAACTTCATTATGAGCTGGGATTCAGCCAATGAAATAAACTATTTTTAATTAGTTTTTTTGATAACTGCAGGCCTTAATGGCACCAAGTAGCAGGGAGGTAATACTGAGGTTTCAAGGGACACAGGCGCATGTACCAGTTATTAATTAGGCTGCCAAACACTGTAAATAACAGCTGGGCCTGTATCTTTTTCTGTGCCCTCAAGTGGGCACCACTGATGCTAAGTTTATATCCAGGCAGCAAGGGACCCCAAGAAGATTGCCCAGTCACTGAAGGTGCCCTAGGTGGTATCTCAGTCTCTGCTAAGAGAAGAAAGCAAACAGGACCCTGCCTTTCCAACCCCACCAAAACCTCTTGGAACTCGCTCTGCTTACCGCAGACGACCTCAGAGGGCCACCAAACTCTCCATTTCCTCCTATTTTATGCAACTGGACACACTTTCCTTTGCATTTTTAAATAATGTCACCTAAAATTCTGTAAGGCATAAATCTATTTCTATTTTATTTTTTATAATTTTATCTTTACGATTACAAACATTGGCACATTAAAATCACACATAATCTATAGGAGCTTAATATCCCAGCTCCCTCCCCCCCAACTTTAAAAAGACATTTCTTAGTCTATAATTCATTCAGTTAATCTGACTCTTTCAAGGTCATTCCATGATATTGGTGAAATATTGATTAGTCATGGGAATAATCAATTGAGTTGAGTCATTCACACCTCTGGGTGCTTTTCAACCTGTTGGCTGTTCCTGTATTCTAATAAACCCAGATCAAGGTGTCACACCCATGGCAAAACTGCACAGGGAAGAATCAAACCTTTGTCTGGCCTGCTTGCTGGCAGCAGCAGCCTGAAAGGACCAGGAACATGCAGCACACATGGGGACACAACATGCATGAGGTGAGGGGTGAGGAGGGCTCAGACTGTCCCTGTCGTACCCACAAACACCCTGTCAGGAGCTGCCCCTTCTCATAATTGCCTGGGATAAACAAATGTCACTGAAATCATGTTTTTGTGTGTGTGATATACAGCCCCACTAAACTCTTAGGAAAAGAGAAATGAAATGGTGTAGAGGTGACAGTGAGAGACACGTGGGGTTTACTTTCAATGGTCCGGTAGGAATTTAGATTCGTCTGAGGTGGAAGACAAGCCACTGCCCTTCCTGCCTTGATCTCCTCATTTGTAAACTGAAGCTGGTCATAGCAACCCTGCCTTGCAGGTACTATTCATGGCCCTGAGAGGCTGCCTTGACTAGCACCACGTGCAGCTGACCAACTTCAGTGTCATTTGCTAGCCCGAAAGTGCCTTCCTCTGCAGTGCTTGCTTAACGCCAGGGATCCTGGTTACATGATTTCCCACTCCCACAATGACTGTGTAAGCATGACATCGTGCCCAAGTAACAAGTGGAGGGACTGAGCCCAAAACAGGCAGAGTGAACACTCCCTGGTTAGGAACCAGCAGAGGAGCCCTGGATAGGAACCCAATGTTGCAAGAACCCAAAGCTTTTTCTCTCCATAACACTGCACCACCCATAGCCCCTTGTTTTAGAGAAAGACCATTTCAGGGGAACCGTGACATGCTGACCCCACAAGTACACAGTCATTCTGGGGCCTGGGTGTGACTGGCACCCTCAGTGTTACATCCTGGCTGCCCACAGAGCTTGTCCCCACAGGTGGGGACAAGATGCTTCCTTTGCTTCTACAGTGATGTGGAGACACAGATTCACTGGGATGGACAGGAACAGGCAGAGCTGCCCACCAAAATAAAACTGTGGCCAAAACCCAGCCCTGCCTGAGGGTGAACAGAAAACGCGCCCTCCAGCCACAACTGCACGCCCAGAGCTTCAGACGATGGCTCTTACCTGGGGCTGCTCCGTATGGAAACATAATCCATAGCTTGGCTCCCACATATATGCTTATCCCACGTGCTACATATGGAAGGAGAAATTAGCTTGTATTTCATTAAGCAGTTTGGCTCAGGTCTTGTGAGCAAATAGTAAGATCTGCACTTGGTACGGAGTCTTAAATGCATCGTTAGCAAATCAGATGGCCAATACACAAACAAGTAAGTAAAGAAATAAATAAAGCGTCCCTACTGCTAAATGTCTATAAATAGGCAAAACAACAATCCCCTTGTTAAAAATCTCTTTTCTGCTCTCTGATTTATTAAAGTTTAGAACTTCATGGGGGGACCCAGGGCAGAAGGACAAGGGAGGGGGCTGGTCTCAGCCTCCGGTGCTCCATTCCTGCATTTACCAGGGCGCGGCTGGGCTACCCCCACCCCAGGGACAATGAAAGGCTCACCTGCAGGTCCAGGGCTGTCAGCTTGCCCTTGTCGCCCACATTCCGTGCATACTCCTCGATGGTCCAAGAAGGCTGGCCCCGCTTCACCTCGGCCAGCTCGGTCAGCCGCATGTCCGTGTACAGGGGGTTGCTCTTCATGTGTGCTTTGAGGGAGGCAGGGTAGGGGTGAGGGCTGAACACCTGCTCCACCAGGAAGCCTTCTTTGGGCTGCTTGGGTAGTCGGTGCTGCGGGGGGATGTCGTACTGCCTGTCTGCCTGCAGAAGGGCACAGAGAAGTTTGGGCAAGTGGCACGGATGCCATTAGATTTCATAGTGCAATTGGGCAGCCAGCAGCCTCCTACCCCTGTAGACATCCAGGTAGTAAAATGCAATTATTTATAAACAAACAGAGTAGAAACCTGCACCCACATTGTACCCATATCAGGGGAAATTCTCTAGGAAAAGCTTATGATCATAATAGTGCTCAGGTCAGCTGACATTTCTGTCCCAGGAAGAGGTGATTTAATTTGATCCTTATACCATAGGAATTCCCATTGTGTGGTTAGGTAAATGGAGCCCAGAAAGACTCAGGAAATTGCCCCAGAGCATGCAGCTGGTAAGGGTTGGGTCTGGGACTTAAACCCTATCCTCTGGCTTCAGAGAGTCTCTGCTTACTAGTGGTAGTAATGTCCCCTCTTTCTTTTACTATTTTATATCTGATACAGATGAATAAAAGATATGGGTCCGTCCCTCCAGGAGCTTGCTGAAATCCTAACACTACTCTGCTTCTTTAGGAAGAAGAAACTAGGATGCAGACATTGGCAGCCTCTGGGGATTTTCTCAGGGACCAGGTGGGTTCCTTTCAAAGACATCTGCATGGCTTTCAAGACCAGGGAGCCATGTGGGCAGCAGTGTAGGATATAAATGACTACAGTGTAGGGTATAAGTGATTACACGTGGCAATCACCGCTACCCTCAGTCCTTGAGGTGTGTCCCAGGGGACTCTGTTCTTAGTAAACCTGCTATAACTGTGGTCTTTTGAGACTTTCTAAATTCAGGCTTTCAGAATTCCTCACTGATGCCACTTCCTCCAGGAAGTACTCCTTGACTAGGTCAGGGTCCATCTATCTGAACTCTTAGGACTATGTCCATACACATAAACTAGCAGTCTTCACACTGAACTACAGCTGCCTGTTTGCCCATCTGGCTCTTGCACTAAGCTGTGAGTTCCTTGAAAGCAGGGGTTGCTTTGTGTGCTTTTCAATGCTCTGCTCCCACAAAGTAGTTCTGTCAAGTAGAAAACAGTCCCTTGATATTCTTCACAGATATAAAAACCAATGATCTGAAGCCATACATATGAAACAGAGAGCAAAAGAAGCTGTCTATGTGAGTAACGTAAAGAGAAAAAGAAGAATGTGAATCAAGGTATGTGCATCTAAGGAAGTGGATGACCATAGGTGGCACGAGATGAAAGCTGATGCGTGAGAACTCAATGTGTGCACACACGGTCTGTGTGTCAGTGTGGGTATCGTACACATGCATGGAGAATGGACACACATGCCTGCCTATCAGCAAGTCCCACCCACTGGCCTAACATTTAGCTATTCCAAGCCATCAAGACTACTGATACTGACGCAGAGAACACAGGATAAACTGCCAAACCCACAAAAGAAAATGAGATGCCTTCTTATTTTCTAATGCGTCAAAGTCAAGTATTCTAAGAGACTTCGCTGCTTTTATTTACTCTGCTCATCACCACTGCCCAGCACTCACAGAACTACTGCACACAGGGCCTGCACCAGGCGGGGGCAGGGTAAATGGCAGTAATAACCATGCTGGCAGCCACTGCAGGCACAGTTACAATTAACCAAGGGCTGCTCAGCGCTAAACGTGCATTATCTTATCTCACCTTCTCATTAACATTCTGTGGTTGTAACGATTATTATCCCCACTATGGATATGGGAACCCAGGACAGGGAGGTTAAGAGACTGACCCACTGTCACACAACTAGCACAAGCCACGTGCTAGTTTGAATCTGTTCTCACCTGATGAATGGAAAGTTAATGGCTCCCCACACCTGTTGTAACACTGAAGAGTCTGTGTTCTAATTGGGCAGACAGTGTCTATACGTAAGATATATTTTTAATCAAAGTTTGTGTCCACTCCATCTGAAAACAGAGGTCTAATAGTCATCAGAGACCAGCAATAATCCCCAGGAAAGGTTCCGGAGACTTATGAATTCAGAAACCTTAAGGGCAACATAGGACTTAGATCAGCACAGAGTAGGTGGACCAGACAAGCTTAGTGGAAGAATCCCGTGAAGGACAGTTTGACAGTGGAATAGGGGCTGGCCATAATAGGGTCTGCTCAATTACTGTGCACCCAGTGAACGAGCAGAACCCAGTCAGGGTGTGATAGCACCTTCCATATGGACAGAGTTATGTGGAAGTAAATCCGCAGGGCTTTGAGGGCCTGGCTAAGAAGGTTAGAACTTTCAGTTGTGCCTAAGAACTAAGGAAGAGCGGCCACAGGAGGCACTGCCAACCCACAGAGAGTGGAGTTTAGGCAAGTGAATGCAGCCATGGTCCATGAGAGGAGATGGAAGGTTGGGGTGTGCCCAAGCATCCCAGGGAGAATGTGCCAAGAGCCTAGATATGGGGGGGTGTATAAATGGAAAGGATGCAGGGGTGCAAGAAATATTGCAAAAGATAAATCCATAGGGTCTAGTAGCTAAACTGGATGTGAGTAGGACGAAGAGGGAAGTCAAGATCAGAGGGACCTCTTCAGTTTGGGAAATTGCTAGAATGTCAACCCCTCTGTCTAAGAATAGAAATAGTGAGAAGGAAAACTGCCTCTGAAGGAACAGAAAATTCTGGTTTGGGACCCAGAGACTAGGACATGTAAGAAAGACATTTGGGAGGAACTGGCCTTCAGCAGTTGGAGCTATTCTGAGTCAAAGATCAGAAGGTGAGCCTGGTCTAGTCACCACCATGGGAATCCTCAGCCCAGAGGTGCTAAGAGCCACATACCAGGAGGGAGAAATAGGGTCACAGGAGGGGACAAAGTAAAAGGGCTTATCACAAGTATAAGCAACTTTTTGCTATCCATTTCAAGTGTAATTAAGCTTGTGACTATTCCTGCTGGTTTTGTGAAGCTTTGACACTTCATAGACTGTAGGCATTGTGATCAATGTAACCTGACATTCCACAGAAGCACCACTGCTAAGAAGAATATTTTCCAGCTCCATCCATGTAAACATGAAGAAGGTAAAGTCTCCATCTTTCTTTATGGCTGCATAGTATTCCATAGTGTACATGTACCACAATTTGTTGATCCATAAAAATAAAAAAATCAAAAAAAGAAGAAGAAGAAGCACCCCTGCACTGAGTCCTCTAAATGATTTCTGAGTCCCAGGGCTTTAGAGACCTAGCCAGACCCTGGCAGCTAAGAGCCGTGGTCAGGGTCTGGATCTGAGCATTTTGTCAGAGCAGTGGCACACGTCAGGCCAGTTCCTCTCCAATACCATGTTGTAAGTGGCTCCAGAAGGACTCAGTGGTGGCAAGCACAGACACCAGAGGATTCTTTGGGATCAGGGGGAAAAATGGGTGTATTTATTTTCCCTCCCACATTGGACCTTAAAATATTTCTTAGAACCCAGTTTTCCAACCCTTTCCTTCACAGAACCATTTGAGGAACTCTCCCTCCTTCTCTGGCTTTGGCGTCTCTGCAGCTCACACCATTTGTATTTTCTCTCTGAGGCAAACCAGACCTTAGAGACCTCAGAGGGCTTTGCGGTCTGTCCAGTCTGTCCAGACCTTTAGAAACAGGAAACAGAAAGGAGACAAGCAACAAACTGAAACTGCATCACCTTGGACAGAAAGGGTTCACCATAACTCATTTAGAGTGAGCAGGAGCAGCCACAGGTCCCACTGAAACAAATCATCCTTACTACAAGGGACAAGAAAAAGAACAAATTTGAGTGTAAGTATGTGCATTGATTCTAGAATTGATAACGCGAAGCCTATTATAAACATGCAAAAGCACTTGAACATACAATACACAAGTGTGAAAGGGGAAAAAAAAACAGAACAAAGGGAAGATATCATAGCAAGAGTTACTGTCTTTGTTAGGAGAACTATGAATAATTTCCTTATTTATCTTCTTTTCTTACTGACCAATTTATCTTATCATGAAAAAACTTATCCTTTTAAAAAAAGAATACCATGCATCCGATGAAGTCCACGAAAGGGACACACAGACAGCACCCTTTTGGGTCATTTCCCTTATTTACTTAGCCCGTGCCCTGCTATTTCAGAGAGGACAGGACGTCCTTGGTGCCACTTGTCTCCTCTGACACGCACCCCCTTCTATGAATATCTGCCATCTAAGCCCCTGAGCAGCACAAGCCAACATCCTTTTTGCTGAAGACAACACAGCAGCAGGTGCTGCCCCTGGCTGGACCACAACGTGGTGGCACAGACTACCTGCCTGCATCCTCCTCTCTAGTCCAAAGAGAAACAAGCCTGCAGAAGCTAGGATAGCTAGCGCATGCGCAGAGGCAGGGCTTCGTTCCTGTTCATGCAAGGTTCAAGGCTTTGAAATACACCAGGGCTAGGAGAAAGCCGGTTCCCAATTATGTGAACTTAGATGGAAATTACCTCTTTAGACTTTCGATGCCAGTCCTTATTATCTCCTGGGCCGGCGTCTTTTATCTCTTCCTCGCTGAGGCCCCCGCGGTTGGTGTAGGTGATGGTGCGCCAGTCCCGGGGTGAGTTGGAGATGCTGGCGATTTTGGACTCGGTGGCGCTGTTCTCCTCCGTCAGGGACCTGGAGGACGGCCTGGTGAAGAGGCTTTTTTTTAAGGCCTGCACACGCAGGCTCTCGCTGTTGCTCCCGCTGGCGTCGGAGCAGCACCAGTCGGCGCTGCTCTCCAGCTTGGGGCCGTGGGAGCCGCTGTGTGCGCGGAACATTCGAGGCGAGGCGCTGTCATCAGACGGAGCCTCGCTGGTCAGAGAGTTCAGATCGATCTGCACGCTCACCTTCTCTGGCTGCTGCATTTTCTGATCCAGCTTATTCAGTTTGCCCAAGACCTGGGAGATTTCCTCGCGGACACCCGACAGCGACTCCAGCTTGCGTTCGATCTCGCCGATCCTGAGCACCAGCTTGCACACGCTGCTCTTCAGCTCTTCTTCCGAGTGGTGGCTGTTTTCCAGCCGGGTGCCCTTCTCTCCCTTGCTGTTGGGAACCCCATTGGCTATTTTGGTTAAGTTGTGCTCAGGAGAACTGTCACAGTCTGACTTGTGAAGCTGAGACAAGGACCCCGTGCTGTTGTAGCAGGACGACTGTATCACCCCGGTGGAGCCGCTGATGCTCATGTCGTCAAGAAAACGGAAGATGTCGCTGATGTCGTCGCTGACGACCTCCGAATCGTCGTCCGAGTGCTTCATGGCGAGTCTGTCGCTGTACTTGGCCTGCCCGGATGCGCCCAGATCTTTGCACTTTTTGGGCTCCAGCACGTGCTGCTCGGTCTGGGTGCCTACACTGCTGGTGTCTGAGCTGAGCTGCCCACTGGTACAGCTGATGCTCTTGTCCTTGAACTTTTTCACGGGTTCGTGCTTCTCCAGGTCGACCGGGGAGGGCATCTCTTTAGCTTTGAGCCCATTTGGTTTCGCAGCGTAGCCAACAGGCAGAATCTGCTGCTGATCCTTTGGCGAGAGGTAAGCTGGGCGCCTGTCTGGGGCTGGGAAATTAGGGGTCTGGCTGCTGGGGTTTGGATAGCGTAGCTTTTCCTCAGAGGGATTTCTACTGAAAAAGGATCGTTCAAAGTCAGGGACTTCCTCCGTGTTTAGGCTCCAGCTTTTGGCTGGCCACGGGGTCTGCTTGCTGGGCCTCCCAGGACAGCGCCGGGCTTCCTGGGTTCCCATTACTGGGGTGGGTCCGAAATATGTAGAGGCTTGAAGGTCGTCTAGGCTTTCGTGCTTTGCTCGCCTTTTGTCAGGAACAGGGGAATACACTGGGTTCAGGTACTGGCTGTTGTAGGGCATTTCGAAGCTGTGGTTAAAGAAGGGGGGCTTGTGAAGGTCCTTTCGCCTCTGGGGTTCCCCATCCTCACCCTCTGCTTTGCTGGTGGGGCCAACCATACTGGGGGACACTGCCATCAGATTGTGAAAGTCCTCCTTGAAGATGTTCCTTTTCTGCACACAGGACTGGACCACAAACGGTTCCTCGTTGGAAATGAAAGTCTCCTTGATGCCCTGGTTGAGGGGCAGGGAGTCCTGGTCTGAGATGGACTCGTTCTCAATGTTCATGGGGAAGTAGGTCCTCTGCATCTCACAGGGCTGAGGGCTGGCGACAGAGTAGGGGGCCAGGGCCTGCAGCCTGTCCAAGGAAGCCGCGCGGTTTTTCACCTCTTTGCTGACACCCAGCAGGAAGTTGGGCTCCGAGGAGGGGACAAACTGCGGGCAGTCCTTGCAGTCCATCTTCCGGCACTTGGACGACTGCCTGGTGGGGTACCCCCGGCTAAAAGGCCTGTCCCTCAGCTCGCAGTTGAGAGGCTCACACTCAGCCGCGCTGCAGGTCTCCGCGTCCACCCTGCACGACTCGAAGGACGCCTCCTTCCTGCGCGCCTTCTGACGGCTGGTGGGCAGCTTCTCCTTGGCGGCTCCCCCATTCATTTGGATCAGGTTGAATATCGTGACAATGTCTGCTGCCACCATGATTTTCTTTGATTGCTGGTTATTCACGGTGCATTTCATCTTGTCTTTGAATAACGTGGCTGGAAAATTGGGGTCGAGACAAGCCGTGTAGAAGAGCACGCTTCTCAGCTTGGCGAGCTGCGACAGTTCGAAGCGGGCGCACAGCGATTTGCACAGGTCCTGATAAGAAACGGTGTTTTGCTTGCTGTCCAGTTCCTCCAAAATCTTCACCAAAAAGAGGGAAGTCTCCTGGTTGGTCTCCATGACTTAACAATTTCACTAGCTTGCTGGCTACACTGAAACTTCAGGTCAGTTCTACAGTGACAATATTGAAAAAAGAGGGGGTGGAAAAAGAGAATTATGAACATCCAGTGGAATTTTAAGTCAAACTTGTTATAAATCACATAGATAAATACAAGGGAGAACTTTATGTTTACAAAAGGATTAAGAGCATTAAAAATAGTCATAATTAGTGTTTCTCTTCCTAGGAATCTACCTTAAAGAAATGATGAGTGACAATGATTACATATAAAGATGTTCACTACGATGGTATTTATAATAGTGAAAAATAAAACATCTTAAGAATCTAAATAATAGGAGAATATAAAAATAAAACATGATATGTAATGAATTTTTACAAATGTTAGAATTATATCAATGTAAATCCTTACAGTGGAAGAAAGGATGAACTCCCTCATGCAAGGACATGGATGAAGATCAATGGATTGTACCCGAGGGGTAGAAGGCAGAATTATACTATATTTTACCATTTTAATGACACTCTGGAAGCCACAACAGTGACTGCAGGAGCTGGATGTGAGGGGAGGGCTTGACATCAAAAGCACACAGAGATTTTCTGAAATGATGGGATTATTCTACATCTTGGTTGTGGTGGTGGTTATATGACTGTGTGCATCTGTCAAAACTCACAGAACTATACAATAAACACTGTACTATATGTAAACGATACATTAACTTATCACTTACTTGATGAAGCTTTTTATAACAAAAAGTTATGATACAATATTGAGTGAGAAAATATGAAAATAAATCTATGCAAGATCATAATGATCTAAAATTTAAATTCTTATAAAGTAAACTAAAGAAAATAATGTACACTAAAACTTCAATAGTGGCTAAGTTTGTACTGTAAATATGGAGTTCTTCTGAGTTGGTAATCTCTTTCCCCCAATATTTCATTATACAAATTTTCTAATACACAGCAAAGTTAAAAGAATTTCATGGTGAAAGCTCATATACCCACCATCTGGATTCTACCATTAACATTTTACTTTATTTGCTCTATCACATATCTGTCCATCTATTTATCATCAAGCCAGCTGATTTTTTGATACACATCAAAGTAAATTGCAGACATCTGTACATTTTGCCCTAAATACTACATCATACTTATCATTAACCCAAGTTCAATAATTGTTTACAGATTTTCTCTTAATATGAAATTTACATACAATTAAATGCAAAAATCTTCAGTGTGCATTGGATGAAGTTTTGACAAATAGGGGTCTGTGTAGTAACCAAAACCCACATAAAGACATGAAATAGTCCTATTGCTCCCTCATGCCCTTTCCTGTTCAACCACTGTTCTGTTGTTGTTGTTGTTATAGGTTATTTTTCTTTTTTCTTTATCATTTGTCACCTTTTCTATAATTCCCAATGTAATATTATAATCACCCAACAATAATAATCCTTACTTTGAAATGGAAAAAAAAATCTACATTCACTGATCTGAGGTGGAAAAATTAGAAACAACAAACCAACATTTAACAAAATTTCACAAGAGAAGGTAAAACTGATAAACATGGACACAGGTTCTGAGATTTATAAGAACACGCCAAATTACACAATATGTTTGCTTCTCACATGCTGCTTAGGAAGGTATTTTGATAATTGACTTATTAATTTTAAGGTTAACTCAGTCCACACAGGTCCTGCTCATCCTCTAGCAGAACAGTGTATTATCTCCATTACATTTTAGCAGCTTTAGGTAGTATGTTCTGTGTCCAGCTTGCTCCCAATGGGCTTCTATAAATATTATCAGCTTGGTTTCTCCCATGAATGTCTGGTTTGCATTTTCTTGTATGGAAAAGGGAAAAAAGCCTTCACAGCTTCTATTCATGCCCAGAATAAGTCACTGGGAAAACCCACTTCTCACGCAGTGCTACCCGCCCTGCCCCAGCCTTGGAATCCATCTGATTAAAGTATTCTGGGTCAGGATGTTCTGGCTTGCTAATGGTAGGGACAACCTGCCATGCTTGGGTTTTGAGTAAACAAATGGACATAGAATCAGAGCACAGGACAAATGAATACAATTTAGAGAACAGCAACTACAACTCATGCAGACCATGTTTTATAATTCTGGAGATACAAGCCACTTTCATAGATATTCTTTTATTTAATCCATCATGAGGTCTCTTTCACTTTCACTATTACTGACAGCTGAGGATATGAGCTTGGAGAACCGAAGGGTCCAGCAACAGCTAGGAGCGTGGGATTTAAAGCCAGCACTTCCAAGCTAACCAAAGCCACGCCCCACCCTGCACCCAGGAACACTCAAGCTTTGCCTCCCTGCCAAGCTTTGCCAACTTCCTATCCTACTTTGCATAGCTAAAGTATTATCTATCCCAGATCAAAAGAGCTATTTGGAAAACCAAGGCCCACTCTCTTCTGAAATGAATAAGGGAAATACAAACAATATGGTAAAATGAAGTCATTTTTTATCAAAAACTGATACCCCTTAGCTGCTTGGGGTCCAACATCCAGCCCACACAGACTCCCATGTGGGGACTCTGACACTGTTGAAGGGGTCCTCAGCTCACCCCATGCAGGAGGAGGAGCATCATCCACCACCAGTGATGGCAGAAAGTGGGCAGGGGACCCTGGGGACAATCACCTGCTGGTGCTCTAGTAGAAAGACAGGCAGGGCTCAGAGTGGGAGGCACCCACACTCCTGTTTATTCAGGAGAAGGAGCAAAATGCAGCTGGGGAAAAGACAGAGCAAGATGCATGCTGGGAAGCCAGATCCAAAGACTGAGCTTTTTTCTAGTGACAAATAAGTAAGGTAGCCCAGACTCTTTGGGGGCTGAATGAAATTGCTGTGGTGCACATATGTGCGTACACCCCTAGACACGTGCACAGGACTCACACACACACAAACATATGCAGACTCAGGCTCACACAGCCACATACACATAGACACACATTCATACATGGACACACACACAAATGCATGCACTTACACTCACTTGACCTACCCTCACACACACTCTTCGTTCACACTTCCACATGCCCATGTGCACACACAATTCACACACATGTGCAAGCTCCCGTGCCCACATGCACACACTCACAAACACCCTGACATGTCTGCACACACACACATATTCATGCTTACACATGACACAGGTAGACATGCACTCACCCACATGCCTTCTCTCCTAAGCATCTCTTAGCCCTGTCTCCGGGCTTTGAACATTCAGAATCTCTCAGCACATCTTGATGCATATTTTGAGAAAGGCTGAGCAGCCAACAGATCCACCCTCCCTGCCCTTGGGGAGGCTACCCCAGGATGCTGCCCTTGCCCGCCAATAAGCCCTGCAAGCACAGCCACAAAGATGCCACAGCATCCCCCCCTGGCAGGGAGCTGGCGTGAGGAGCCTATGAGCCCAGAGATCTGAAAATCAGAAGGCCAGAGGGGCCCCCATCTGGCCCAACTGACTGCCCAGCCCAGTCCAGGCATTCCTCCCCTACATCTCCCACAGACCCTCTGTCAGGAGGACTGTGGCCTCTGACTGCCCTCATCCCCCTAGAGTCCTACTCACCCACAGAGCCTCAACAAACAGCTCTGCTTCCCCCAATCCAAGTGCAGAGCTATTTGCACTGAGGAGGGAAAGGTGGACTGCCAGTGGCTGCGTGCTGTGAGCTGGGTCCTGCTGCCCTGCTACCAGGATGCATGCCTGGTTTTCAGTGTTCAGGGTCTCTTAAAGTCACCCAGAATTTCTGAGTCATGGACCTTCAGAACTTAGGACCAAGAAACCCCAGTTAGGAAACAGAGAAGCTGGTATCATGAGAGGCAGAGGATGAGGATGGAGCACACAGACCTGGCCTATGGGATGTTGGGGAGCTTACTTACAGCTAGCCTCAATTTCCTCATCTATAATAATAGGTGTAATTGACATATGTAACGTACTTAACAAAGAGCCTTCCGTGTGATGGCCATTCAACAAATGACAGCTGTCCCTATAGAATAGCTGTGGTGGTGGGAATGCTAGCAGTTGGTGGGTTTATGCCTCACAGTGACTCCTGGAGGTTATGAAAGAAGACTACAGGTGTATTATTTTTTATATTTATATTTATTAAGAGCTAGGGGGAGTCTCACTATGTTGCCCAGGCTGGACTCATACTCCTGGGCTCAAGAAATCCTCCCTCTTCAGCCTCCTGAGTAGCTGGGACTACAGGCACACACCATAGCACACTGCTACAGAAGCACTGTTGAAAAATTACTTCACTCTATACATAGAGTGAGATACACTCATCTAAAGCAGGGTTTTGGCCTCTCCACGTTTACATTTTCAACTTCTTGGGCCAGGCACTGTAGCTCACGCCTGTAATCCTGTACTTTTGGAGGTCAAGACAGGAGGATTGCTTGAGGATAGGAGTTCAAGACCAGCCTAAGCAACATAGTGAGACTCCATCTCTACAAAATTTTTATTAACTGGCATAAAAGATAATTATAAGGCATGGTGGCATGCACCTATAATCCCAGCTTCTCAGGAGGCTGAGGCAGGACCATTGCTTGAGGTCGCAGCAAGCTATGATCACGCCACTGAACTCTAGTCCTCTAGCTGGGGCAACAGAGCAAGACTTTGTCTTTAATAAACAAAACAAAATAAAACAAACAATAACAAAAAAAAATCCACCTTCTTTACAGACTTCTAAAATTTTAGTTTCTTATTACAGAGAATTTCGTACTCAATGACATGCTTCCAGAGACGTTTAGACCCCTGATTTTGGAGTCAGGAACCCAGACATTTATTGTCCTATCTGGATTCCTGAGACCCAAAGGGAAAATAACAAGTTAGTTATGGGACTCATTATTCAACTCTCACTTAAATAGAAAGAAATTTTATAAAATGCTTCCACGAAAAGGTTCTGAAGGCCAGAGGTTGAAATTACTCATCGGGGATAAAAGGTGCCCTGCCATCTCACACTAGTCCACTCCCTTGTCACTGTTTAGCACCCACCCTATGTAGCTGCCTCTCTTCTCCACGAAGATTCTGCAGGTTGTCCA